GTACTGTACATGTAAGAGCCCATCTGCGAATGCCCCATGGATACAGCCGTTCTATTTCCAAAGTAAAGGACCATATTAAAATTTGATTTAATTGGGAAAATCTACTATGAAAACCAGGCTGCTAATAAACACTGTATCTCATCCATTATTTATGGAAAAATTAGGGCTAAAGAATGCTAACTCATTTGCCACAGGAAAACCTCAGAATCAGCCACCCGTGCCTTAAGAATAATAGTTGGTGCAAAACCAGTCGGCATGCTGAATGTAGAGATGTGCCAGAAATGTGGAGGCACTACTACCGCAGAGGCTAGCAGTAATGCCAGAATAAAAAAACAATTTTCTTTTTCTGGAACATGAGCTAAATTGTTGGCAGAAAAAACTAATTGACACGATTACCCTTAGGGGCGTAGGAATGGCGCTCTGTGACAGTCGATAATGAAGTTCAGAGTTTGTGGGTTACCAAACTTTTATTTTGATTAAACTAAATTCATCTGGTTTCACTTTAAATTGACTGGGTATTTCTTTTCCCTCTTTCAAGTAAAGAGAGAGTGCCCTGACTGGAAACAAAGAGGGGGAAGGCCGGTGTGGTTTTGACATAGCGAGTGTGTGTTTTTGCGAGGGGGATCATGTGGGATGGGTGGGGGGTTTAATACATCTGATTCCTGCCACTGTGGCAGAGGCTGTATGTATTGCTGGTCGGGTTGCCGTGGCAACAGCTGCAGAATAAGAAAATCTTTCTTTCTTCCTTTGCACCTCCTCCTCCTCCTCCTCTTCTTTCTTCCAGTCTGTCCAGTACCTTGTCAAATTCATGCCTTTTTCTCCCTCCCTCTCTTTCCTCTGACTTGTACAGACACGGCTTGCAGAGTTTTGGGTGGGGAATGATCAGGTATGCGTTCGCGCACACATACACACACATAAATTTTCTGTGTGCTTCTGGTGTAGCAGACTGGGAAGCCATGAGTCTCAAAAAGAGACTTTCCTTCAAGACGACCTGGAACTTCAGCAGAGTAAGTAAACTGTGGTTTACCGGCCAAGCCTCCTCTTCCTCCTCTGTATGAAGAAGGGAGACTCCTTTTGTTCACTCAGCTGTTTTTCCTCTTTACTCTCCCTGTTTGTGGCTCATTTCTCTCCCACTCAGAACAGCTGTTTGAAGCGGCACAGACTTCATTGTTTGTGGGGTGCTAAAATCAGCCTTGACTTGTGTAAAAATTTAGAAGGGCTTTTTCTTTTTAATCTGAGTGGTGTTGAGCAGGGTACATCTCAACCTAGTTTTTAAAGCCAGGAACATGCTTAAACAAGCCCAACAGATAAAAGGATTCATTTTTAAAACATCAGAAATACACTCTGTGAGAAGTGCTAATGGCTGACATTAATATTGTGTGAATGTTGTTTAACTTTCAGCTGATTTAATACACAAGAAGTAATGTTTTAGTTTTGGTGTCTCACCTTAGAACACACACATAATCTGTACCGGTGTGATCCTTTACGTTCCTTTAGCATGCAGTGTTTCTAGATGCCAGACTATATGGCATGGGGGCTGTACCACAGTGAAGCCTGCAGAGTCAAATCATCCTCATGTCAGAGCCAGGATACTTGTTGTCCATGTGGTTGATAAGAACCTAACATGGACAGCCTTCAGAGGGATTCTAGCAGGGAAACCAGATATCTGCAGTTTAGTGTTATGATCAAAGAGGGTCTGTATTACTGCAGCCACCCACAGTGGACCAGCTTGTCACCAGAGGTGTCATGGTGTGCCTGGGTCATCACTTCAGCGTCTTTGTGGGAGACATGCTGGCAAGGAAGCAATAATGAGTTGAAAAACACACGGTAGTGTGTTTGGTCTAACCCCAGCAGCCTCATACATACAAACATTTATACACACACCACCCTGTGTATATCTGCCAGCACTTTTACCAGTTTGCGTGAAAAGTGCTTAAAAAGTTAGTCAGCCAATTGATTAGTTACAGATTATTAACCAACAATAATTTTGATTACACATTTATCATATAGGTCATTTATCAAATAAAACAGTTAAACAGCTTGTCGAATTTGAAGATTTGCTATTTTTGCTGCAGGTGGTGTGTGTTTTACAATTCTCTGTTTTGACAGAATATCTTCGGGACTTGTACTGCGTGTTAGACAAAATAAGCCATTTGAACCCATCTCATTAGGCTCTGGATGCTTTTTGGGGCATTTTTCACATTTTTTGTCATTTTATAAGGCACACTAAATTGGGGGGGAAAAATCAACAAATCAATTAAGTCACCTTATTGGAGACTGTGAGGAGAATTTCCAGGCAGAACTCGCATTAAACCTGTTAGGAGGCGACAGTAGAGCAGTCGTCTCCCACCCAGAAGGTTGAAGGTTCGAATCTCGGTCCACGAAGTGGCAAGACACTGTAGTGATACTCGGTCCACGAAGTGGCAAGACACTGTCGTCATACTTGGCCAATAAAGGTGATTATCCTTATCCTTAAAATATGTGATACTACTGGTTAAAATAGCCACAGGCCATTGCAGCAATTTGATGCTTATAAAACTTGTGACATATCCGTCATCAACATATCTATCCTTTGACACAAGTGATTTAAAAGATGAAATATTACATCAATCGTATGTCAAAAGAACATTTATTATGATTCACTGTAACTCCCCTCTCAGTTAGTGGTTTAGCGGTTTCTGTCTCATAGAGCTTTTACATGTGGTCATTCCTGAAATGGAACAAAGCGTCACATCAGTGCATATGACTGCAACTCCCTTCAGATGCCCAGTTGTAACAGGACACAACATAAAGATTTAGTCCACTAAGAGCCAGGACCTGTTCTAAGGCTGGTTGATCAGGCTGAAAACTACTAATTACAACTACTACATCCTTATATTTCATTTTCACTGATCTGTTTGATATTGTAGCTCTGCAGTCCATTATTGTGCATTTCCACTAACACACAAACTGTTGTTGTGCTGGGCTACTCACACCTAAGCTGTGGCCTGACAATGAGAGCCTTGTTTAAATATACAGTATTATCAGGCTTAATATTCACACTTTGAAGAGGCAGCTCAGAAAAGACTCTTCTGGAAATAGTCTCCCCTTTTCAGATGAATCCTCCAACGCACCGATTTTTCAAGTGTTCTTGGACCAAGCCCTAAGATCTGCCTCTCATATCCTCCCCTGCATTTAAATTTATCTGGGACTAAAGCTTCACAGTGTGGGCATTTAATCTCTAGTTAATAACCTAACCAATTTTATGCTAACTGGTTTTACACAAGCCCAGTGCTGATGCAGTGAATTCTTAGTGAAGTATTGCCAAGAAAACATTCACTGATCCATCATAAGATCAGACATGGGTGGTATTTTATACCCAATTATGGAAACTTGTGACCATGAAATTTCAATGCCCACTGGGGGTCATTGTGCATTTCATTCAGGGACATCTACACGTGCATAAACCACTCATTCTCTGAATTAGCAAATGAAAAAGGGGCCATTACGGCCAGTGATGGCCTCTCAAGTAGCTCTGCCCTGATGATCTCTGATCTTTGTGACTGGGATTAGGAATGCACACATTCAGTTCTCTTTGTGTGTGTGTGTGTGTGTGTGTGAGGATCATATAAAATGAGGGGTGGGCCCTGGTGTGGAGGTGTGAACAGCTGTGTGTGGTAGAGGCCAGGGGTCCACCCACTTACAAGTTAAATGCCTTGTGTAAAGACCCAAGACCCAACCCCTTCCCAGTACACTCTCTCATACAAACCACAAAGACACACACCTCAGAGCAACTGGAGGGATGCCTGGAGACACACACTCTTCAGTCTTTTGTCTCAGCTCAGGTCATGAGGGCAGCCTCTCACTCATGTCTCTCTTTGTTCTCTTTCAGTCTGCTGCTTCCTCAGATGGTGGTGAGTACAATTTCGTCATTACTAATTTTAAGCACCATCCTTTATAAAAAAAAAAAGCAAAAGTAGAAGAACCTTCAAGCTATGTTGCAGACTATTTGTGTTCTTAAAATGAAGTGAATTAAAAGTGTTGTTATTTTTTATCAGGACTGTAAAACTTTTCCTTGATCAACATTTTTACTAACAGGGAAACTTTTTAATCTTGTCCAGCTCACAGTGCTTTGCCCATTATTTTTAGCATCTGCAATTTAATTTCTCATTTTCCACTTTCCAACACAGAACTTTGTAATTTCTCATTAAAATGGTCTAATAAAAGACTTTTATTGAGGATGATGTATTCACTGCAGGCAGCATGCCTCATTAACAAAGGATGTTTGTTCAGCGTGTTTCGGGTTATGGTCGGGGCTGCCATGCTTGCTGTCTGGTCCTCCCTTTCAGAGCTGTTTTAATATTGTTCGCTAACGGGCTGGCCAAGGCTGTGGCGTTTAATGCTGCTCCGCTCCTTTCACTGTGGATATGGATCAGACATGCAGGGCTGTTTGCTTTCTAAATCCATCTCATTAAGTGAGCAGAACACGATGTGGTAAACACAGATCTCAGTGCCTCACTCCTAATACATTAAACCAAGTTCAGTCTAATGGCTTGCCAGCACATGGACTCTGAGTGACAGAGACCGGTCTTTTGGCCCGATGGTAAGAAAGGAAACCCACTGTTCCTCAAATTGTCATACTTAACATAAAGCCTGTGCAGTCTCAATGACACTTCCACTGATTGACTTGAAGTAATTTCAAAGAAAGTAGGATAAATTAATTTCTAAGAGGTCATGTAGAGTTTGCAATAGTCATAATCTGAAAAAGACCTCACTGTGGGGCTGTCAGTGTTGTCATGTACTATTTTATTTCACAATATCACAGTCACACTACTCCTGTTTGTAAATCCACCCTACCTCTTGTGCGGTTGTACAGGATAAAGATATGTAGCCTTGTGTTTCTGTTCTTAACAGCCCAGATAAACTCAGTTGCCCCCTCCACAGAATGACAACAGCTACTGTGTGTCTGTAACCAATCCTACTGTGAACCTTTTGTTGTTTTGTTGTTTTTACTGTGTGCTCCCTGCTTGGCTGGTCTACAGCTCTAAAGTGGCCATCTGCTGCCATGATAGCAGGTATTGTACTGGATCTTCACCTACTCTCCCTCCTTGAGCCCCTTTTATCAGCAGTGTCTCCTCTTTTAATTCTTTTATTTTGCTCCCACGTCTCCTGTGCCCTTTGTCCTTCTCTTTCAAACTGAGCGACATCTCTGTTTCTCTTTGTGAGATGCCGTCAGTCCTGTTGGCCCTGCATTCCACACTTCCCTCATAATATGGTTTTAACTTATTATGTCACATTTGATGGTGAAAGATGTAGCAAAGGAGCCATTGTCTTGCCATTTAACTCCCATTTTCTATTTGTAATGTTGTTTGGTGCAGTTATGGGTAACCTTTTGTCTCTTCATTGTGGCTAGATAGTTTTATGACCAGATCTCTGCTCTCTGAACTTGAAAAGGATCAGGACTTTTATTGAGAAATTGACAAATTTTACTGGCAAATTGTGATCTGAACTTTTAAGGAATTTTAGGTGAAGTAATGGAGCTAGTAACATTAGCACTAGCACCAGAGTCTGATATTGTTGTTGTTTTGCCTGCTGTATCTTGTTTATATTTTCACCAAAAATGATAGACATGTCAGCATTTATGGAGGCCTTGTGAAGGTGTGTATTTTTTTTATTGTATCATTGACAAGGTTGAGGAAAATCTTAACTCATCATGCTTTATGGATGTAAAAACAGAATTAGTGCCTTCTCAAAAATTCAGACTTGCAAACAAGTTAGTTTCAAAAGAAAAAGGAAAGCACAAAAATGTTAAAATCCACAGGAATAACTTTTTCTTGGCTCTAATTCCCACTAAAGCCTTCTAACCCTCGTGCTTCTCTTCTGCCTTGCAGACTATAGTGGAGTCCATTTGCAGGGATGCTGCAGCCAGAGCAGCCTGAACAGTAATGGCAGTCTTCCAGGAGCCAGCAGCCATCGAGGGATTCCAGAGCAGCGTGTGGCCCGCTGGGCCGCCTGCTTTGAGCGTCTCCTCCAGGATCCAGTGGGCCTGCGCTACTTCTCGGTAAGCTGGAAAAAAGTTTCTCAAGACCAACAGTGTTGTCAAAAACAGCTGACATGAAGTGTCTTGGCACATCAGATTTAAGACAGAGTGGGTGAGCTCAGGTGTTATTGAACCCTTGTTTTGATTCATGGCATTTTTGAGTGGGAAAGGAAACCAAAACATGCTGGTAGCCAAACCATTTTACTTGTGCTTGGTGCTGACCTACCTGTAACTACTTATATTGTCTGAAACAGCATGTCCAGACTTAAAATAGATAAACTTAAATGCACTTTTTTTTTTTTTTTACAAATCCAAGATCTGTATTAATTTGATTTGAAAAGTTCAAATTCAGAACAATTTATCAATACCAGGCATTTCCTTGCATGCTTCCCACATAAAAGATGCCTTGAATTTAGCCCACAACACCTTTTTAAGGCTCCACATCAAGTTCTGGCTTCCAACAACCACCTTCCTCCTCACCTTCCGTCAACACTTATCAGAGCTGCTCTCGCCTACACCATCCTGCGCCTACACTTAAGCCAATCATGTTTACAGCATTACACCCAGTAATTTCTTTATTCACTAATGGTTTCAACAGCAACAGCAGCACTGGGAAGAAGAGACCACTAGTTTGAGATCATATAGAAATTCTTGTACTCTGTGTTTTGACAGGAATTTCTCAAGAAAGAATTCAGTGAGGAGAATATCTTGTTCTGGCAGGCCTGTGAATATTTCAGTCATATTCCTGCAAATGACAAAAAACAGGTAGGTTCAAAATATGCAGCTATAGATGCAGCTAGGCCTCCTTGTGCAAATTGGCAGATCATGACATAAGCTCCATGTCAGATGATGACTTAATATTCATTGTGAAAAACATTTATTAAAAAAGCAGACAAGAAGAAATGTAGCAGCACACATTTCTACTTCTTTTCCTGCAGCTGTCTCAGAGAGCAGGAGAGATCTACAACAGCTTCTTATCCAGCAAGGCCACCATGCCGGTCAATATTGACAGCCAAGCCCAGCTGGCTGACGATGTCCTCACCTCCCCACAGCCTGACATGTTCAAGACCCAGCAGCTACAGGTACAAACAAGACACAGAAGTTGAGTTGATTTATTAAGATGTCACAAAGTGTTGATTCATAAATAATGTGGTATGACATTTTTCTGGACAGTATTATTAGGAGGGATTCTCTGTGCAGTGTGTGGGTTGGGGGGGTTGTTCTCATCTAGCCTTTAGTCATTTTGCACAAGCATATTGGGTTTTTTTGGTGGCCATCTGGGTTTGTTTATGAAAGGGCTCTGAGGCTTTACCAGAGTGATAAACACAAACTGACACACACCCACAGAGAATCTAGTGTATAGTGTACACAGGCACATAGACATGCAGTCACAGAGCTGTATGCTTTCAGCTTGCACACAATCATGATAAATTGTTAAATGTTAAGACACATGTCATAACATCAGCTGTGACCATATGTTAACACTAGTAGTTTAGTGTCTCTTGTTTTTGTCTGTGTTTCATTCCTTTTCCTCAGTCCCTAATTTTTGACCCCACATGCCTTTCACCTCTTCCTTGCATTATTTTCTCACTAGCGCTCTTTCCTTATGTCCATCATCCCTGTTTTTTTTTTTTTTGTTTGTTTTTTTTTTACTTAAAATCACCACCCTCTTTCTCCACATCTTCAGATCTTCAACCTGATGAAGTTTGATAGCTACTCACGATTCCTGAAATCCTCGCTTTACCAAGAGTGCATGCAGGCTGAGGTGGATGGTCGGCCTTTGCCAGACCCCTACCAGATCCCCTGTAGTCCTGCGCCGTCTAAACACAGTGCCAGCTCTGACCGCTCCACCCTTTCCACTCCGAAGAAGGTACTACTATAGATTTGGACTCTTTTAAGAGTTCTCAGCATGGAGATGTGGTTACTTATCAAGTCACTGTGGGATGTTAAGTACATATTGTTTGTCTTCCATCCCACAGGATCCCGGAAAGCAGAAGTCAGGGAGGTCACTGAACGAGGACAGCAGAGATGAGAGTGCTGACAAGAAACGTGGCATCTTCTTCTCGTGGTCCCGCAATAGGAGCTTTGGAAAAGGGCCAAAGAAGAAGGAAATTGGAGACATAAACCTTGGTGAGAAATTAAACAACTCTGTTGTCTTCTGGTTCCAACAATCACCAATTTCAACCCACAAACTTCCAAAGTGTTGAAGTGTCCTTGAACAAGACTCCAAATCACTGAAAGCTCCAGGGTTGCCAGGAGCCACATGCAGAGGAAGCATGTTGAAACACAGCTGCCCTGCAGTGATCCAAGTATTAGACATACACACAGTTGGCTTACTGGCAAAACAAATACTTGCATTTTGACACAGTTCTGTCCACAAAGAGCTGGTGTTTTAAAGGTGCCACAATATTAACATAAGGTTGGTATGGAGATGCAAAACAGTTTTGATTATTATAATATTATAATGTAGCCTAAAGTTTGTCCTGTTTTAAAAGCTGCAGTTGGCTGCAGTTGCGGTATGTTTAGACTGTTAATCTTTGTGAAATACTTTAATAATGACTATTCCTCAATTAATTGTTTGCAAATATCCATTGAAAGCACAGGTTATCATGCAAGTAAGCAAAATATTGTAGATCGCAGTTTGCTGTCAAAAATTTGACCCAGTTATCATCTCAGTCAGCTCTGTTTTAATGCTCTATTTTCAGTTATATTTTAATGATGTGACCTTCCTTTATTGCTAATTGTATGCTAATATGCATTTCACACTGTGATGCTCTAGATACTGTCATTTAATCTGAATAATGTGCTAATATCTCTTATCTGCACCATCTCATCCTCCTCTGTGCTTTTCTTTGCAGACTACTGGGGCAGTAATGGGCGGAGGGAGTCCCAGGGCTCCTTGTCGTCCGGAACCAGTCTGGAGATGGCAACTTCCTGCTCTGCTGGCAAGATTGAGGTAAGATTCCTCTGGACAGATCACCATGACAACATAGAGCCCAGTGTCTGATGAAGCCATTACAAAAGGCCAGTGTTGTATTTTTATACTAATTGTTTGTTTATGGGTAGCTTTAATCAGAGGGTAAAATAAAACCACAACTGCTTCTCTGTATACTTAACAACCATAATCCTGTACTTTTTGTTAGATTAACTCTATGAATTTTGTGCTGTCTTCTCAGTCTGATAATCGCTACTCACTCGGAGGTTGGGAACGCTCACCAAAACACTGCAGTGTGATTCTGCCCGACGGCTCTTGCTCCTCTGTTACTCTTCGGCCTGGTGCCTCCATTAGAGAAGTCCTCCAAGATCTCTGTAACAACATTAGCGTCAACATCGCAGCCGTCGACCTCTTCCTGGTGGGGGGGGAGAAGGTGAGGGAGGCAGATGTTGCCAGCACATTACTGACAAATGCTGAGAACATCTGTTGCTAAAGAATCAGGAAGCAGAACGCTGATCCCAGTACCCCTCATTAGTGACTCAACTCCCTGTTTATCATACATTTGACTCTGATCAATACAGTGCATTTACACTTAAGGTGAGAAAAATCAGAAATCAGAATTAGTGAAGTGAATAGAAAAGACCAACATTAGAAATGTATATTTCTGTGTTGTTGATGTGTGGTTTGGTTCCTTTTTCCTCACAGCCTTTGGTGTTGGACCAAGACTGCATGACCCTCAGCTCACGAGACTTGAGAATGGAGAAGAGGACATTGTTTAGGTGTGAACAATCAGCGTGTTTGTGGCTGTCTTAGCTTTCAATTCCACATTTGTTGTTTATGCTTTTAATGCCATCATATTTACTTTTGCTCTGTCTTTTATGCTAGACTGGACCTGGTACCCATTAACCGCTCTGTGGGCCTGAAAGCCAAACCTACCAAACCAGTGACAGAGGTCTTGCGTCCTGTGGTGGCTAAATATGGCCTCCACCTCACCGATCTTGTGGCTAAAATAGTAAGTCCCACTTGGCTACAATGCCTTAAAGGTAGAGTTGGCGATTCTTCTCAAACATTCTTTGTTACATATATTGAAATTCTCTTCATCCCAGTGGCAACAAATACAATAAATGCATTGACAACATAAAGAAACAAATCTGTATCATCTATGGCAGCAGCAGGGCTAAAAAAAAGTCTGACCTATAATTTTACTCAGCATGAGCAAAACCATTGGATGGACTACCTGTCTGTCAACCTACTTCCTATCTGTATGCACCTTGGCCTTGCACAAGCCAAGAATCCTCCACAAGGCCAGGCAGGGAGACGTGTTACTGCTCTGTTTTGATAGTTAAAGCTAGCGAGCTATGGCAGAGAAGGTACCCACAGCAGCTTTTGTTCGCAAACAGAGACTGTTGTTACAGGCCAGGCCTCCAGCTTTAAGACATATAGCTTTTATAGGTAATGTTATTGTTGTTGCCATAGGTTGCTACCGGTGAGCAGTATGAGAGCGAGAAGAGAACAGACTGCTTTTACATGCAGCCGCGCGTGGGGAAAATACCAACAGTAGTCAGCTCTAAGTGTACAGATAGGATTGTAATGCAAGTAACCGGGCATCAAAGGACACATGCAGTGTTTGTGTTATCAAGACAGAATAAAGCCTGCGTTTTGACTGGCGTTAGCTGGCCTCCCTCTTCACTTCTCCCCACCAGAAAGCCCAGATTTCTAGTTACTGGCTACGAGTCAGGGCTAAAGCAGTTTAGCCGTGAACCAGAGGTTCCCTAACTACGGTTCGGGGACACAGATCTGGGCGGGTAACACCATATTTGAGAAAGTTACAGCTTAAAAGAAGTTGGATGCTGAAAGAAGTAAAACCAGAATTAACACTGGTGTGGCTTTTGAATGATGGCGACAACTGAGAGAACAAAAGGGGCTGAAAAGTGATGTCATGGTGGCTGTATTTCTGCTGGACAGGTAATTATCTCTTTTGTTTTGTTCGGGGGACATTTGTTATTTTCCTGAAATCTCCAAGTAGTACTCAGGCAGTGTGTGTTACAGTGCGCATTGTATTTTAGAGGAGTGGCTTTGGAGAGGAGTTAGAATGAAAGGGTGGGATTTCTTCAGTTGTTTACTTTCAAAATGGAGCTTCTTCCTGCTGGTTTTTTCAGGATTGCCAACCTTACCTTTAATTTGTTTGAAGCTTCTTTGTGTCTAAAACGCAGCCTGCGCAGTGTGTGACAGTGCCACAGGGTGGAGTATCATGGTTAGAGGAAGGGACCGCATCCTTTTCCATCTCTACATGGTGTTTAGCACTGTGACTCAGCCCAGCCTCTGAAGATGGAGCGCCAGGGCTATAATTAAGAATGACGACACTTCTCAAACATGCCGACTCTTTAGTCCTCCTCTAAACCCCTGCCACTTGATATATTTTAGTCCTCTGGGTTTCCAGGCATTACGACTGTATTATACACTATACCAGAGCTGAAAGATGGTTTATAAATTTAGCAAAGGCTTGTGCACTCAAATATCAGTCAGATGTTTGAAATAGCATCCTATACTGACTTCTGTGAAAATAGGTGACGATAATAACATGTTCAAATTGTGTTGTGTTTCAGAGCGGAGAAACCGAGCCTCTGGATCTGGGTGCTCCCATCTCGAGTTTAGATGGCCTTCGAGTTGTGTTGGAGCGAGCAGACCCAGCTTCGGGGAAAGGTATGAACACATTGTAACCTAATATAATATTACTGCAAACTGACAAAAAATAAAAACATTTTTAAGTGGACTGGAAAAGGTCTCAAGCGTCCTCTCCTCCTCTCTCTGTCTCACTCTCTCCTCATCAGTTTCCCAGCCTGATGAATTTTTCATGTACATCTCTTTCTTTCTGTCTTTCAAATAGACAAATCAAAATCAAAAAACCTCCCTCCACCCAGGAGTTTTTCTGCTGCAGTAAGTATCCACAATATCCTTATTCTCATAGAACATCATACAAACAGTCCAAATGTGGTGTTTTGCTGTTGCCGTGCTTCTTCTGCAATATTCAATGACATTTAATAGCAGCCCACATTAATCTCTATTAACATTTAGCCAATGCTAAGCAATCAGTTAGTGTTTATTTGCTATTTATTTTATTTTTTGTCCTAACACTTCCTGTGGCTGACTCACTTGCTCATATTTTTCCATGCTTGAGTTATTGCACCATATGCAGGCAAATCATACTTGGGCAACACGCTAGCAAGGTCAGTAAAGACAGAGCCAACGGAGGAAGGTCTCCGGGCATCACAGTTATCTGGGCACTGCTTGGCAGCTCATGCTTAGCTTCCCCCTTATGGCTACACCCTTCCCACCCCTCTATCCCCTAACAGAGTGCATTGTTATTGTTGCATCTGCAGGGAGATGAGAGGTCAACACCAAAGGACTTTTCTGTGAGAGCAAGTGGACCAGACTCAGCACTCCCAGGGGAAAAGAGAAAACAGAAAAAGATTAATATAGATGAAGCTGAAGGTAAATCCCCTTTTCCTTCTTTCTCTTGCTCTCTCTTCTTTTGACTTCTTGTGGGTTTCTTAGCTTTGCTTTGCATCAGGACCAACTGATATTTTTGGCAGCTCTAGAGGGTTATTTTTTAGTGTGAGGCTGCTGCGCTGCATGTTAAACCTAGCGAGTCTTTTCCAGGTGATCCTCTGTTTGGAAAGTTGAAGTCAGAGAGCTTGTTTGATCCATTTTGCAGAATTCTTTGAGCTGCTAAGCCGGGCACAGAGCAGCCGAGCCAACGACCAGCGCGGACTCCTGAGCAAAGAAGACCTGGTGCTTCCCGACTTCCTACGCCTAACCCCACCCCTCTCCTCCTGCTCCATCTCCTCTGACTTGGCCTGCTCCACTCCTGACTCCCTAAAACAGAGCCGGGAGAACGGTGTTTCCTCACGGGGGATCCTCACCTCCAGCCTTCGTTCAGAGAGCCTAGACTCCTCTCTCAGCTCCAGTGCCAATGGACACACCGGGACCAGACGGTGCCTGATGCCTCCTCCCCGCCACCCAACTTTTGGCACCCACCTGTCCCCCATCCCCCGGCCCTCAGATACCCGACTAAGCCTCCGCACAGTGGAGGAGGACCCCCACACCGACCTGACACTTGTAGGTGAGGGTGACATCAACAGCCCCAACAGCACCCTGTTGCCTCCTTCACCATCTCCCATGCCGTCCTTTGAGAGAAGCCTGCTGGAAGCCAACTTCACCCCACCACCACCCTGCTCCCACTCCCAAGACACAGGTGGAGAGGGAAAGTCCAGTTCAGGTATTTCTAAAGTGTAATAAACCAGTGCTCCATGTGTTTGCGTGTGTGTCCTGTGTGCATGCGTGTGCTCTCTCCGGTGGTTAAGCCCAACCACCTTCACGATAAAGCTCCTTGTACACTGACTCTGATGCACTTTAATGACAATATTGACTCTCTCTGTGTACCACTGATTTGAACTGATTTGTTTGATTAAACTTAGCAGAGCATGTGTGTGTGTGTGTGTGTGTGTGTGTGTATATGTGTGTGATTGATAGTAATATACACTCAGATCATCTTGTAAATAGTGATGTGTATATTTTGTTAAGTAACGTTTACTTGGTTGTCACTTCCTAAACCATGAATTTTTGAGTTTGCCATATGACTGGGGTGAGTTTATTCCAGTTTTATATTTAGTTTATTTTGTAGTTTTTGGTGCATGAGATTGCCAATGTAACTGGTTGCAGAGCTTGTATGAATATTAATAATATATGCATAATGCATACAGATTAATGATCAATATTTGACAGTACTGTAATCAGTAAATGTTGTGCTGAAGATAATAATTCAGAGCAAGCGAACAACTGAGACTGATACGATTAGCAGCTGTGTTTCCTGCCACTATGGGCCATCATGTACAATTAGAAAACACTGTAGCAAGCCAGGCTCATGAAATTGTGTTACAGTGTCAGACCTGCGAATTCTAAGCAGTTATTACAAAACGAATGCTGTACTCCTTTCCATCCCACCACCTCTAGTCAAGACCAATTCAACAATGTCAGTGTCAAAAAGTTTTTTTTTCTTACGCAACGCTCTATAACCGGTGAGTCATTAAACCATGTCAGCTCCTGCTGTAGCAATCTGAGCAGTTGTGAAAATAATTAGTCATTGGAGGACAAATGCTCCTTTGGCGGCGGTGACGTTGTTGAATTGCCTGTCATTTTTTTATCTGGGTCATTCACCCCCTATCTAGATGCCTGTTGTAGATAATCACTGCCAATAAACTCTGTACATGTGACTGAGTAGATCTAATAAATGTTAGAATTGGAAATCGCTCTTGTCTGTCTTTTTACACATTTTACCACAATTGCCACCTCTTCTCTCCGCCTCCGCATGCCTTCTCCCGTTCTTCCTTAGCTCGGTGTCGTTGTCTTATGGCTTCCTCTCATCAGCTCCCACTCCTTTGTGTACTTTTCTGTGTGTGCTCTTTTCAGAGTGTTGCTGTTCGCTGTGTTTTCTGCTCAGATTGTTCTGTTGTGTTTGTGTGGTCTTGTTAACTACTGCTTGGTGATTCATGTTTGCTATGGGGTCACTGCTTAGTTGTGTGTAGCGACAGTGTGGTATTGTGGATTTCTTGATTCTGTCTTCTGTTAAACTTGTGTTTTCAAAGCTTGCTGGTGTGTTAGTTCATTTTGTATGGAGTGCAAGATCATTATTTTCTCCTGCAGTTAGATTTCATTTTCTGTTTCCCATTTTTGTTTGTCATGTCACACTTCCCCATAGTGTGTTTCTGAGATGGTAGACAATCAAGTGGTGAATTGATTTTTACTGTTGGTGGTTTCTTCTAGAGCAGATATGCAGGGTCATTTGTCTTCACACATCCAATTAGAGACATTTTTAATCTGGCTTTAAAGAAAATCCCAGGAAGGCTCTTTTGAAAACACTATAAAAAAAAGAAGATAATCACACTCAACTTGTTTCCCAACAACAAAGCCTGCTCTTTTCTTGCACTTCAACGCATTCAGTCGGAAGGGCGTAAACATGTTCACTCTGACCTTACTGCCCTCTGTTAATAGTTAAGCTTGAATGTAAGGTAATATGTACATAAGATGATGAGGAGGAATCGAAGCCCTTCAGTTCCTCCACAGGCTCGCTCCTCTTTTCTGGTTGCTAAGCGCATCGGACTGATTCTTCCCACCAACGGGCGCCATGGTAACCTTATCCAGAGTTGACTGAGCTACAGATAGAGACTGTCACTACTGGTTTTCATCTATCTCCCAGCCTATTCCTCTCTCTTTCTCCCACTAGCTAAAATAGAAACCTAGCTATGATTCAATATAGTCATATTTTTAACACTGCCACCTTGGTGCGGCTGAATCTGTGCTGAGCTCTGCAAACATGGAAATACAGCAACAAAAGCACCTCCACTACACCGGTTTTTAGAGACTTTATAATTTTGTTGCATTTGAATTTGAGTGGAAAGACATGCTCACAGGACCAATAGAATAGTAAAGAGACACAATAAATCCATGAGTGCAAACAAGTCCAGTTAACCATTTCTCCTTTCACTGTCTGCCTGATTCGGTCGGTGCAATTTCCAGTATTACTGTTAGACTGACGCCCTCTGCTGTCACAAGGGAGTAGGTGTAATTGCAGCTAATTAACACCTTCTTCAGTTCAGTTTCATTCTAAACTTCCACACTGCCCCAAAAGCAGAAATTATACAGTACCATATAACAGAACAGGTTCATACCATGATACCAGGCTTTGTGTCTGTTCCTCATATGTGGCCTTGTATGAATAAGAGAAACACTGGGGATTTAATGATACTTCTCAGTCATCAACCTATATAATTTAATAATTAAATTTAAGGTTTATAAGATATGTTGAGATAATATTATATCCTTAACACTATTTAGCTGAATTGAGGATAAATGTTTTTATATACTAAAAGGCAGTATAATCTGACAAAAGTATAAAATGTCAGTGGTTCTCAGACAAAATCTTGTTCATTAATACTACCTCTGGCTCAACATCTGTCTTCACTTGGCATATCCAAGATAAATTTGCATCCTGATTAGACTTAAAGTAAAAAGTCCACAAGGGGCTCTGGTGTGTATCAGAGACCCAGAACTGGTGCTCTATGTTAAAATGATTATTTCCAGGCCATGGTTGTAATCGCCTCTCCCTGTCTGGCAATAAACGTGTCTGCAGTCCTGGTCTGTAGGGATTTGGGCGTCCACTAGGGGGAGACATTACATAGTGTAACCACTGATTTGAACTCAATATATGAAGTATTTAGTCAACATTAATTCTGGCCTCTAAACAAACTACATCCATTTAGAGCATTTTAATTATTTTTGGGTGAATAATAAGCAGGAGGCTGTAGCAAAGATTCTACTGAGGTTTTGTTTCCTTTTTCTTTCAATAGTCAAGGTCAGAAGTTAATTGCCCAGGTTTTTTGTCAGAGGGAAGGTTTGGGCCATACAGAGAAGATTAAAGGGTTCCTGGGAGGAAATGGAATATCTACATTATGGCCAGAATATCTCTGAAAATGCTCTGTAATGACCCAGCCATCAGTGTGTACCTGAGGGACCATATGACTCATTTCTTCTTTGGGTGTGTGTCCCTGTCTTCCACCTCATTGTCTCTTCATTAGGTCTCAGAGCTGGTAGCTGCTGACCCTGGGCCAGCCTTATCATCCATCTGGCAGTTACAGGTGGGCTCGATGCAGATCTTTGGCAGTCCGTTCCGGTCTGGCTGTTTTGTCTCAGCTCCCTGCTGCCGCCATGGCTGTTGACATATTCTAGCAAAGCTCTGTCTTGAGGGAAACATCCATAGAATTTAAAATAAAAAGACAGAAGAATTTCAGGCAACTCAGTATCATGTCCTTGAACTTCAAGACTAGTTCAGACATTGACAGCTGCTGAACAGTCCTTGAATTTGCTGGAAGTTCAATCTGCATTCGTCCACCTTGTACCTTGTTACAAGTCAATTTGCCAAGGGTCTGTGTAAGGTCAACTGTTGGAACTGACCGGCTGTGTTTACATCTGCACTGAAGAGCAGTGAATCACAGCCTGCGGAATTAGGAGAGTCTCTCTGTTGAAGTGCTGTGTTTGAGTCACTCGGGCCTCTGTGTTTAGAGTCTGTGGGGCCACAGGATTCACAGCAGAAGTGAAGAGTTTATCACTCATCATAACTGTGATGCCAGCAACCCACAGCATCCCAGAAACTTTCAGTTGTAGTCACACAAGTTCACTTGCATGAGAAGAGGGGAATGTTAGAGCCCTGATGCCTAACACATGTGACAACAAGGCAGTGAATTAATATGATTCACCCTAGCTCAGTCTCATTCAGTTAATTAATTGGCAAGTGAGGTGAGTTTGAGGGGAAGCATCTCTTCAAGTGCATCTTGACAACAGCTGTCCAGATTACACAACTATACATTTGTCAGTTTACACATTAGCCCATGATTATGTGCTCTGCAAAGTTAGCCAATATCTGGTGAACAAGAAGAAACAAAACTTACATTTGAGTGAATATTGTATTTTTCAGCTGTCAGGAGGTCAAAACTCAACTCCCAATTAGCAATAAAATTTTACTCATGTCTGCTGGATATGTCAATGAAAAAGTCAGTGAAAGCAGTTTTAAGTATATGTCTGTTTTTCCATTTTTTACGACTGCCCTCATAAATGTTCAAATATTAACTCTTGGCTATTCATAATACATCAACTCTTACATGTCCTCCTTTCTCCCATGTTCAGAGGGAAGAACAGAAACAACTCCCAACACCAAATCATCCGCAGATAAAGCCAACACTGCACAGACACTTCAGGAGGTGATGGATGTGGAGGGAGTGCATCTAGAGGAGGGGACACTGGAAACATCCCAGACAGAGGACTCTGAGCTCAGCCTGAGCTTCCAGGGCTACGTCGCCAAGCTGCGGCAATGCCAGAGCAAGATGAGGAGTGTCCACATGCCCCAAAATCTCCGTAACCCACCAGAGGACAAAGACTGCAATACAGATCTGTACAAGGCCACAATTGTCTAAAGGGAACCCCAACACTGCTGCACTTTAAGCCTGAGGCACCGTCTTGTAAAGAGTCAAATGATGGACTGCACGTACAAAACTGTCGATTTACGCTGCAAAAAATCAATATTATTGTGATAAATATTGTATTTTGTTATGGATTGTAGTATCTTCTTGTTGATTTTTAGTATCAGTTGTAATTTTGGGACAGTGACATGTTTTTGTAATGGTATAGTTTAATAATTACAAGCAAAGCTATTTTATTATGAGCCATGTTAGACTAAGGACAACCACAGTAGAAGCTTGAAATTCATTTTTGGGTACCAGTTTTTATTAAGGCACACATTATACATGGTTTAAGCTGTAATTTCTGAGCTTATTGTAAGTCCATTCTTACTAATAAGAAGATGAATTCAAGTGCTGGCTGGCTTCAAAGGTATGTTAGCGGACACTATGTACTTGGCCATTAATTAAATAAGTAAATGTTTTTAAAGCTATAAAGTATAAATTTAGACCACTATTGATCTTTAAATAATTTATTAAATGATTAGTTGTTGATTAAGCTATTGATTACACATTGTCTCTTAGTTTGCCTTATTAGAAAGTGGGACCACTGTTGTTGGACCATATATTGGGCAGGACTCTGTTTATAAGGATCAAAAGGGAAGCAAATAGCATTTTTCTTGGATATAACTTATTTCTGTGTTTATGTTTTACAGACAACACATGATGGCACCCTTACTGCCTGTACCTCCTACTTCTGTGGTTTTGAGGTTGTCCACATGTTGACTGATTAAAAAGCTTTGATTCCAACAAACTGCTGCCCATTTGTTTTGTACAGTGTGTTTGATTGATTCTATTTTGGCTGATAGGTAAACCCTCACCATCCCATCCTATCATTTATCCCTCCTTGAAAATACTTGAAAAACCTCTTGGTTGTTTGTAACCTAAAGTCTTATGTAAGCCATTCACAGCAATTGGCAGATCTTGCCAATTAAATGTGTTTGCTAAGTTGGTCAGAATTGTCTAATGGCATATTTGTGAGACAGGTTACTCATGAGGACATGCTCTTTAGTTGCCCAGCCTCCTTTTTGTATTTATAGCTCAGCATCTGGAGACAGACTATTACAGCTGGTGAAAATTAGAGGTTAGGTTAAGGCACTGGGGAGTTTGTCTTGACGCAGCATGTCACTGGTGGAATGCTGACACTAGGGTTAGTTTTGGGGTTAGGTTACTCGAGCTTTTTTTCTGTGAGTCTTACCATAACACAAAGGTACTGTCATCATTGAGTTTTTCATAGGAACAGTAATTATGTCCATGAACCTCTCTGATAAATCACCACACTGGACTTAGTCATATGTTAACTCAGTAATCCACCTGTCAATGTTTTTGTCTTGCCTGTTTCGACCCCTCTGCACCTGCTCAGCCAATTCACAACAGTAACTAGTACTTCGGGCCGCTTATTTTAAAGGGCGGACACAGGTCAAAGATGGAGGCAGCGGAGGTCTGGAGCCAGGCTAATGAATGTTTTCTGACTTAGCTGGCATTACTTAGGAACTCATATTGTTCATTATTTTATGCGAGTTTCATTTAATCAGCTGTATGATGTAATTTTAGTCTTGTGTCTTAATTGTTTTAATCGAACCTAAGTATCATTAGCTCACCTTTAAAATGTAGCATAAGCTAATAGTTTAACAGTTAACGGCTAGTCTCCGTTAGCTCGAGGTTAGCTTAACGGGTGTGTTAGCTAGCACAGTACCTGTAAACATTGTTTTGTTTTTTTATTGCAGCATCTTTATTGGAAAAAAACCATTTATAACAGCTAGACATCACAACATGAACTAAAAACTGGTATTATGTGATCCGGGCACAAAAGAATATCATGCTGAGTGATAGGTCAGCATTATATTGCTACGCCATCATCCGGCTGCCTCCCCCCTCTCACTATCCATAAGTGGCGGTGATAAACCGTGGGCGTCTGCAGAAAAGTTGTTGAGGGAACACCAGCCGGTACATGGGATGCCTCAGAGAGAGACAAGTCTAATGACGCAACTGGTTTACTCAATACAGCCTGAAGTTGTGAGGGACAGGACAATACTTGCAGGATTTCCACCGTTTCCTATGACCATAACCAGACTGAAGACTCTGAAAGTGACAGATGTAACGTGACAGGCACACAGACCTTCTTCCGAGTTCACGAAACAAGCTTCTGCGGACAACAGGGGACCAACCGATGCAAACTTTTCTAATGGCATACATTATATTGCTTTTTCTGCCTTCAGTTCTCAGTGCACGGACGGTACGTTTTAACCACACTCAGCTCAGTGCGTCTTCTTATCCATTTGAGGTGCGTAAAATACATAAAAACGATAAAATAACTTATGTTTTGTCTTTTCAGCGGATGTTAGTCCCTGGATATGAACCAGTCCTCTCCAAAGAGCCACACAGGGAGAGCCAGAAAGGTAGGTTTTCTGTTTGATTTAGAGGGAAAAGAGGGAGGGAGGGGATGCACAATAGACTTAGAGTGGATCTGAGATATTTTCAGTTGTAGTAACTAAAAAAGTTGTTGGTGCAGTGTAAATCTGACTGAATTGGTTGATTGACTGTGCTCATGGATTTACTGTCCTCTGTTCAAAAAGTGAAGGGAGTGTGTGAGGTACAGGGGAAACTGCATAAATGTTTTGGAGGAAGTTTCTAAATGTCACTGTTTTCTGTTTTGACCATCTGTGTTCAATGAAAAACAGTAACAAAGTTTGTGTTGTCAGTTCTTACTACAATGGGCAAAGAATGTAAATTCCCATTTCGTCAGGGTGGAAGGCTTCATCATCACTGCATCACCATCTTCTCAAGACCATGGTGAGTCCTTGTTAGACAGCCTGTGTCTGGATCCACTGTTTTGTTTACACAAACAATCACTACATATGTGTGTAATCACGCAAAGTTACCACACACTGGAATTTGACAGAGAGACAACTCAGCAGCTGGCAAGCAGAAGTGCCGCCTTGTCATATGTTGTTTTGTTCACACACTCACAAACCACAGAGCTTGTGTACGTCACTCTCACACTGACCAGAGCTGTTACATCACAGTCTTATGTATGACTATTCCTCAAAGTGGTATGACCTTAAATGAACAAAATCATCGTTGTTTCTATCAAAGATTGCAGTAATGGCTGAGATTTTCTGAAGGAATGCTAACGCAGTGTGTAAATGGGGTGTGTAGTCACACCTAATTACAGCTTGTGAGTGATGAGGGATTTATGCAATAATGTCATCATGAAACAATGCAATTCTAAATGAGGTAATGAATGAATTGGCTTTAATAAATTTCTCACTGCTGAAACATTTGTGATTTCGAACATCAAAATATAGTCTTCTCATGACCTGTTTTTAAAGGGGACATAAGATAAAATATGTGAAACATTCTTGGGCCCTGTTATTATTGCTGATGTTTGTAACACATTTACTACTTTGTACACTGAACTGTCACATCATGGTGGATTTTTATTGCTTCTGATTGTGACACAGCGGCAAAATCTTTCATTAGATTTTTATTTTACAAAAAAAAAAAAAGGTGGCCAAAAGGCTTTCCAGTCATCATTCCTTGGAATAGAGACAGGAAGGGTGGGTGCCAGCTGGAGCAACATGTATGCAATTATATATGGCCCAATATCTCTGGTCCACCTACACATGTTGTTACTGCAATATGACCCTACGTGTTTTTGTGATGTGCTCATGAGCTGAATATCGAGTGAAGTGTGTTTGCTGTTAATGTACTGCAGATTCAGTGAGTGATGAAGAAGTATGCTGATGTTACCTTTGATTAAATGAGTGGATGATTGACCGAGTTAATCTGCACCCGTTGGTTATTGAGTGGTTTTTTCTTCTTGGAATCAAACTGGCTGCAAAGCTGTAGCGCTGCCTCCACAGAGAGATTGTTAAAGAACATTTGACAGATTTCATTTAGGGGTGGATACGATCCTCAGTCATGGTATAAATACCGACTGAGAAACTGTTGATGGATGTATGGAAATAGCCAGATAGGAATGTTTTTAGTCTACAGCCTTGCTGACAATTCAGTGAGGTATCAGCATGCTAACAGGCTGGCAATGACTAACAGGCTGACAACGACAGCACAAACATGCCCATATTGTCTCATGGCATATACTCTCACTGCAGAGGTGCCCAAACTTTTCAGGCCATGTACCACTGTGTATCAAAACAACTTTATACTGCAGATATCAACAAAGAGCTACCTCCCCTACTATATACCACTGCTACCACCATCATTACTACTCAGGCCCATCACCTTAAATGTATTGATTTAACCATACAGTAACCTCAGAAAGGCTAAATAACAACAACATAAGGCTACTTTTTCAAAATCAAAAGAACATTTATTAATTATAGCATGAACAAAAATCACTGCATTGAAACAGCTGTTTGCACCTGCAGCTCTCTCTCTCTCTCTCTTTCTCCCTCTCATTGACTGCTGCTATTGTTTCCCTTCTTTCTGTGGACTGCAGCAGTAGGTGGTAAGGTATTAAGGCTGAAAGTTCTATTTACAACCATGAAAAGCAAGCAGGCTAAGAAACAATCTGCTCTGCTTCAGCAGTATGGACGTCACAGCACCTACTGTACACAGACACCTGCTACACACACACAACAGACTGAGTGAACTGAGCCAAGTTACTAGACGTGCATCTCGGTTGTAACGTCACATCACCCTATCTGGCTATGCACAGGAAAATTTCATTTCTAACATATTCAAATTATTATCAACTAAATTTCACGTAATTGTAATGACATGTAGATTTAATAGCTGTTGTCTGTAATAACATTAAATGGCACTATTTTGGTTTTACGTTTTAAGTCTTGGGCCAGTTGGAGTGCAATTGTTAGACCTCTCAGCAAGGCTCTGGCACATCACAGGTGGTACGAGTACCATAGTTTGGGAGTCACTGTGGTACTATACAGTACATTTTCTTACTAGTGAGTGTATTACATTTACCCTCTCACAGGTGCTCTTTGACACATAACTTTGATCGGGACCGGCAGTGGGGCTTCTGTATGCCAGAGAAAACTCAACCAAATGGTTAGTTTGTGCAACCAAGTGCATTCAAACACAAAGTATTTTATTAGCAAAAACACTGTATTTTGCTTTTGTTAATCCTCTGTGTTGTTTTCAGTTTTGATTTTTTCCTCTGTATTTCAGTGTCCGTCCACACCTCACACGAACATCTGTGTGACGTGAATCCGTGTGAGAATGGAGGAGTCTGCATGCTGATCCCACAACGACACACATTCGAGTGCTCGTGTCCTGAGAGCTTCTCTGGGAGACTATGTGAGCAGAGTAGGTCGCTGGGGAGATTCTTATTATTGAGTTAAAATTATAACAGTTTTTAGTGTTCATCATTTATTCTGCCTTTGTGCAGTATTAGCAACAAGTTTAACAGTTAATAATCAAAATAGACAACCCATTATTGTACACATGAAACCTTAAACAGGTTTCCCACATGTCCAGGAAAGCTTGGGATTTTGAAAACCAGTTTTCCATTCCCAGGTGACACTGGGTGAGAGGCAGGGTGCACCCTGGATATGTCACTGGTCTATCACAGGGCTGACACTTAGAGACAGGACAGACAACCACGCACACTTACTCCTAGGGGCAATTTAGAGTCACCAATCAACCTAAGCTGCATATCTTTGGACTGCGGGAGGAAGCTGGAGAGAACCCATGCAGGCACTGGGAGAACATGCATAGAAAGGCATCAGGTCGACCCGGGAATTCTCTTGCTGTGAGGCAACAGCGCTATCCACCGCACCACCCTAACCCTTTCACACTTTCTTTTACCTCAGTCACTTAAATTGCTCACCTCCAAATCAATAACAGAACCATTGACCGAACAGTGTATTCACTCTGGATGCATCTTGCACAGCTCAGCCATCACATTCGGTCTGTATTCTCCACTGAGTTCTATAGTCACCTCTCACATTTCAACCTCTTGCCTTTTATGTGTTTTGTTCGCTTTTCAGAGAAGTGCTATGAAACCATACACCTGCACTATTATGACATTGGAGAGTCTTGGGGACGAATTCACCTTCGTAATGTGGAGCAGTGCACATGTGTGGCAGGGGAAATAAAGTGTGAGAGAGTCCACTACACAAGTAAGACATGGCATCAGCTTTTGTTGTTCTGCTCCAACTGTGTCTTGTTTTGTGCTTTGCTGCTGTCTGGACAGTGAAACCCAGGTAGGTTACAGTGACTTAAACAGTATGGTATCCCACAAACTGTTGAACCAACTGTCAGTTCCAGCAAACATTTTACACATTTACAGCTTGCATATATGAGCCCCCCCAAAAAAATACAACTAAACATGGAGAAAAGTACAACCTTCAAAAACCTATATACATCAGGGTTTTTTAAGTTCACTACTTTTCCATGCCTCATAAAATAAAGTATGAGGTCTCCTCCCACCTGGAGAAATGCTTCTTTTCTCTTTCCAGAATCGCCTCCCAGCAGCAGATATGAAAGACAGGCCCTACCCTTTCTTTGATCACAGCCTCACAGTTACAAGTGTAACTTTACCATGGAAGAAAAGACAGATTATATGACTCAGTGTGACTCAGAAATAGTGTTTTAGGACACACCCCGTGGGTCCGTAAGGTGCTTTCATCTGTATGAGGGGACGTTCATGGATATTTAACAGCTTCTATGGCATAAAGGAGGGAAAGGTAGTGAAGTGAAACAGATTGTTTGCCGTGATGGGAGCAGCTTATTTTACAGGGGTCATGGTTAAAATGTCCTGAAGCACCTGAATGTGCTTTGACTTGGTTTTCAGCTGAAATCTGACAGACGATTTGCACTGATACCAGTTTTATCTCTTGGCTTATTTTAACTAGAATTTTCTGAAGCAGACAAATTCATCTCTCAAAGCCCACAGGCCTGTGATCTATGGATGAATCCACTTTCCTCTCACATATTTCATAGATGCTGCAACAGATCTTAGGGGAACACTCAGGGCAGATATACTTTATGTAAATTAAAGTTTAATGCCAGTTTCTGCTGTGACTTTCATGTAACTTGAACTTAAAAAATTAAAATGTGGGTTTAAGTGATGAGATTTATTTAATTAAGCCTGCATTTATTGATATTTTGGTCACTGGGGGCAGCATAACAAGCTCAATGCACAACATTGGCAGGTAATCAGCTAATAAAGTTGTTTTTGCTGATTTCAGCAAACTGTTTCCTATTGACATATCTAAGAGATCAGCATTCATCTGCAGTCATGTTGCTGACCACATGAGTCCAATATTCACTCTTCTTTTAGCTTCTTTTTGCCTTCAACATCTCCTGAGAGACGTATCTGGCTCTGTAGCTGCTGAATGCCCCGCTAGAATTGTTTTTTTGCTAATAAACAGCTGCCTGCTGTAATGGACAACAATGCTGACTGATGCAGGGAATCAGTTCAGTAAAATTTCTTGTCAAGAACCCAAAACATTGAGCTAAAAGTTGCTAAAAACTGAGGAACAGCAGAATAGTGTGATAAAACTCTGTGGGCTTGTCAGTACGAGTGGCCCCTTTGACATTACACACTGTTTTAGGTCCATTGTTTTAATAAAGATATAAAATAGTGTGGCTTTAACTATAGCAAACTTATAAACAGAACACATTAATTTAGTAACGCTGAAGTAGAAACACTGATTAGAACCTTCATGCAACACAATGCTGCAGTTAAACTCATATAATGATAACAGTAATTTAATGAGAATTGTGTAATGCAGTAGGAGTCATTTTACAAGCTAAAACATATGAAAAGAACTCCTGAATGCTGTAAATGTATGATTTATAATAAAGTTGTAACAACGTGTGTCTTGATGTGTCCAGTGTGTCATACAAACCCTTGTCACAATGATGGAACGTGTCGACTGATCACATCCACTGGTAAGGAAGTGTGTAACTGCAGAGTTGGCCACAGCGGACCATACTGTAACTTAGGTGAGTAACAGCAAGACTGGATAAAAGTGTTTGTCCTGTTTGTTTGCCCTGAATGTATATCATCATTATAATCTAGGAGTGTGACGATACACTTAGCTCACAAGATGAGATGCTACACCATACTGGGTTCATGAGAATAATGTTTTGAATTGTCTTATGCAGTAAAAGACAACAACATCCAAACACTGTTTTGCCACAAACTCAGCTGACTGGCTTCTCTCCTGTACGATTATGACGAGTTGCCTCAGATCTTATAACTCTGCATTAACTGTGCATGTGCTTCTAAGTTCTAATTGAAGCTGTGAGTGACCTATCCTATTTTGACCCACACTGCACTGGATGGCGACATCATTCAGCAGAGGCGCTGCGTTGACCAATCATGTACGGGGGACAATCGGGACGTGGACGCCCACAGGATGAACACTCTTTTGTTTACCTTGTTAGCATGAGCATTCACCTCTATTCACTCTCAAATTTGGGCCACAGTTGACGCACCATGACGACACACCATGCATTTTTGTTAGTACTGGATGTTTTTTTATCCATCAGTGCTGGTAGAATTGGTGCTAAGGTAGAGAAGGCTAAGTTAGCAGCATGGCTACCCAAAACACAACGGAAACTTGTGGGCTGGAAATATGAATGAAGTCACTAACATTGACTCGTGACAACGTAGCCTTATTGTATGCCCCTACAACACTCCCCCTGCAACCATTCACCCACCAACCAATGCAGCCCAGTGTGTCAAAACACAGCAGGGAGTTGCAGTCATACTGGCTGCTACTCATGCTTCCGGATTTTCTGTTGTCTCTCCTCATCTCTCCCTGCCTGTCACGTCCTCTGCCAGCGCAATCAGCCATCATTACATCCACCTGCTGCACATTATCTCCCGGTCCAATCCCTTTTCCATTAGCTCCCCGCTGGTTCATTGTCAGCTCTCCCGTGCTCTTTGCCAGATAGTCGTACGCTCTTTCCTAAACAGACCCTGGCTCTCGCACCTGAACTTCGCCATGACAGCTGATTCCTCATCTCTACGTGAGTGCCATTTCCTCGTCTTGCCTGTTTGGCGGCTCACGGTCAATCCTGCAACCCAGCCAGCTCTGTCCTCATCCTCCCTACCTGCTCTTCCTCTGCCTCGCCTTCTCAGCCAGTACATGCTCTGGCTTTGCCTCTTAGTTTCTTCATGAGTATCAGCGTCTCTGCTACCTGAGTGAACTCACCTCTTCAGTTTCCTGTGAGTGTTGGCGTCTCTGCTGTCCGTGTGACTCCCCTCTTCGCCCCTGTGAGCGCCAGTGTTTCTACTTACCTGCGCATCTACTTACCACCGTCCTCCTCATCTGCCTTTAAGTGTCAGAACTCCTCCTGCCTGTGTGATGACTTACCTCTTCACAAGAATCTGTACTCCAACTTACCTGTGAACCCACTTCCCTGCATCCTCCTTGTTTTCCCTTGAGGTGTCTCACCAATCCTATCTCCAGTCCTGCCATCTGCCAGCCACCTCCTCGTCCACCTCTACCACCAGTACTGCAGTCACCTCACCTCTCCGTCATTGACCACCCTGCATCCACCCCTCGGGTTCCCAGTGCCTTCTCCCTCATTCCCATAAGTGTACAACTAACTTTTTTTGTGCTCCATCCCTGGTGTGTGTTGGTACATTGGGTCCACCTGCCGTGCTTAGTCATAACAAGATCTTGTCACACCCCTAGTATAATCACATAATGTTCACGTCAGGGTGAAAATAATGGATGAGAGGCTTCGTCTCTTCTGAATCAGCAGAGCGGGTCTTACATGTGTTTTATCAGGCAGTTAAATTATGTTATTTATGTGTCCCTCCTATGTGTTTCTGACATCTGCTTGTTTATACAGTGCATGCGTGTTCATGCATGTGTGTGTGTGAGAGAGAGCGAGAGAGAGTGGTTTGTTTTATGGTAGCAGGTGAAGACATGAGCAAGCTGCTAAACTTGCCCTAAGTTGTTGAAACTGTTGCTGATAATGCATACAGAGAAATGTTTTACAGACTTGTTCTAACTGATTCCAGTGTGAAGAAAAGAGGTTTGTCATCACGCAGATACTCATCTGCATCTGGAAATAGCCTGATTTCATTCGTATCACTTACATACCTGTGTGACCCTGTGGAATTCTGACATGTTTGAGATGCGTATTAGTTTTATGTGTGGTCTGTGTGTGTGCAGAGCCGGAGACAGAGTGCTATTACAGCAGGGGCACAGGTTACAGAGGGGTGGTGGGTACCACAGAGTCCGGCACCCGCTGTCTGCCATGGAACTCAGACCTACTGCATGATGAGCTCCACGTGGGCACAGTGGTTAAATCGCAGCTCAAGGGCCTTGGTGAGCATGCCTACTGCAGGTGTGTGTGTGTGTGTGTGGTGGAATGTCCTGCTTTCTATCTGCTGCTGTAGAATTCTGCTAGCATCATGACAAATGAGACTTACTTATAATTATACTCCAGGTATACTTTATGTCAATGCTGTGGTTGCTACAGTACCAACTGGCTTATCTGTGTAGCCAGATTTCCTTATACCGTCCCCTAAAATTCAGCTTTAAAACTGTATTATCCAACTTTTACCCAGAGCTAACGAAGCTGTCTTCTAGTTCTACCCCTTATCTGCCAAGTTCATGTGCCAACACTAGTTGTCCTTATATGACATCAACTCAAAGCCAATCAGCAGACCTAAAACCATCACGAGCATGAAAGAAGCACACGGTAAATCAAGTCAGTGTATGAAAAAAAAACAGGCTTTATCTCCGGCATGTTCACTCTTCTTCCCATTGCTCACTGCTTTCCCCAGTTGGTGTTGCTGTGACTACCCAGTGTGATATGTCCACAGCAAATGGTATATGCCCCCAAAATGTCCCAAACATCAAGGAAAAGCCAATTTCATGCAAGCACTGGGATTTAGGCTCAAACACACAGGCTGGCTCAGACTCAGGTGGATTATGTACATTTATTATTACATATTGCAGCTTTAACATCAGCGAAACCTTATTTCTAATTATTAAAACTTTGTATAAGTGAATGCAAAAAAAAAAAAGTAATCATTGATGTGTGGTTTGGCCAGAGATTGAAAACCAGATTTCACCTGTTCACAGTGAACAGAGACAGGGCGCCTGTTAGCCATTTTGCTGCTGTGAGTAATGCGTGGTGTTTCCAACAGTGGAGCCACACCTACACACACACACACACACACACACTGCTTTGTTTCTGTGTGTGCAGAAACCCAGATGGGGACAAGATGCCGTGGTGCTATACGCTAAATGACGGCGCCATCTCCTGGGAGTACTGTGACATCCCCTCCTGTGTGATACCTCTGTGTGAGTAAATGGGGCACAGGGATGGGGTTTTGTCATCAGAGCTGACATTGGGCGAGAGGCAGGGTGCTCCCTGGAGAGGTCGCCAGTTTGTCACAGGGCTGACATGTAGACAAACACGCACACTCTCACTCACTCCTATGGGCAATTTAGAGTCTCCAGTCAACCTAAGCTGCATGTCTTTGGACTTTTGGAGGAAGCCGGAGTACCCGGAGAGAACCCACGCAGGCACAGGGAGAACATGCAGACTCCACACAGAAAGTCAGAGTAAATTCTCAGTCATCCAGGTCATATAGTATGCTGAAAAAACTTAGAAGAAGGAATCTGGACATAGTTTTAGGCAGACGTTTCACTTCTTATCGAAGAGGCTTCATCAGTTCTACGTCCAGATGCCTTCTAAGTTTCTTCAGTCCACACAGAACGGCACCGGGTCGGCCAGGGCTCGATCCCAGAACCTTCTTGCTGTGAGGCAACAGTGCTAATCATCGTGCCATAGATGAATTTATGTACTTTAATATTTTACCACATGGTTAAGGCGTCATATCTGTTATATAGGCCAGACATATTTTCGAGACAGCTTGATTTAGCTTTCATCATAACTCTGTGCCACCTCATTGTTTAGTCAAAGCCAAAGAAAGCCACATATTGTTGTCCTTCTGTACCTTATGAACGATGGCATATTCATTTAGCTGTTCTTATTATAGACCCTACATCATTATAAGGCATGAAAAGTTTAAACTATTCATAAAGGGCAGTCGCTGCATCATTGAATATCTTCAGTCTCTCTGCCTTGATTATATGGTACAGTTACCAGCACCTGTTGTCTGAGAAACATACAAAACAGCTCAACATCTCATTAAATGTCTCCAGTTTTCATAAAAAATCCAATGTTTGTGATAAAGGTTGCTGAGTCACGCTGCTCAGATAAGTTGAATTTAGCCAAGTGAGCTAGTTTGGTGGTGGAGCTTTTTTATTAACACGTGGGCTAAATGAGATTCAGGGAAAGAAGGCATGAGTCACCCTGAAACAACATGTCAGGTCAGGTGGAGCCAAATGTTTATGTGGTGTGTGGGATCTGGCACATGTGGCCGTCTGTCGTGATGCCAGGGGTATGCACAGAATTCACAGCCTTGTTCCATCTGCTGCACCCTCCTCTAGATATGATTTGCAGCATGCGAATGCTTTGTGACGCTGATATTATCACCCTATAGAAGAGCTTTTTTGCTTCTTGCAGGGGAGAGCCAGCTGGCGGAGAAATCGAAAATATTCAGGAGAGGTATTTAGGAAGTGTGTTAGAAAAATGTTCTAGTTGTTAGACCAGTCTGTAGTAGTTTAGTTTGTAGTAGTTTAAAATAACAATTTGTAATTTTCTGTATAATCATATATAATAAACATATATATATATATAATATATGGTATAATCATGCAGCATCTTCTCGAAGGATAAACGTCCTGCCCAGCATTAAAAAACGGGAGCCAGCAGAAAAGCCTGTTTGCGGGAAAAAGCACAAGAAGAGGTTGGCAGCAGCCAGGGGGCGGATAATGGGCGGAAACTCTGCTCTTCCAGGCACTCACCCTTGGATGGTGGCCATTTACATCGGGGAGTCAGATTTCTGCGCCGGCAGCTTGATTTCTTCTTGTTGGATCCTCTCTGCAGCGCACTGCTTCTTCCGCAAGTATGTCACTGATGTGATTCAGCTGCAATGGGTTTTTTATATGTCACTCCAACACTAGCAGAGTTTTAGCACAACACACTGTACATACTGTTATTTTTTAACCAAAATATGAAAAATATCCACTGAGTGTCTCAGAAACTCAGTTTGAATCAGGAATATATAAAAACATAATCCTTCAGAAAGCCTTCTTAGTTCAGAGGGAAGCTTTATTCCCACTAAACTGTCTCACTGAGCTCAGAAATCTAAAGGCCTGTGATTTAAAGACATCACAGCTTCATGAGCACACTACAAATGGACAAATCCAGGTTGAGGAAAATCTGAAAACATGTTTTGTGCAGACGCTGTTGATTGTTTCCTCCTGATGTCAGCAATCAGGTGTTCGCTGCTACCGTTGAAGTTCAGACATCTTTTGTTAAAGACCTTTTAAATATACATTCACTTATCAGCTGGGATTTGATTAAAGCAGATAAGTGAGTCTACGATGTTGGTTAGAAAAGTGTTGAACATCATGAAGAACATATTGAGGGCTTTGTTATTATTGTAGCCAGTAGTGGTGCTAAAAACGTAAAGTTTATCCTGAGAGTAGCGCTGTGAGAAAGGCCATGTGAGCTACACAATCAGGGCCAAAATCGAAAGAGTTCATCATCTGGGGAATATAAATGTACAAGATAAATCTGATTGCAATCTGCCTGTGGGGTTTTAGTCTTTCTTGTCCAAACAGGCAAGAGAGGTCAGGATCCACCCTCTTAGACAATTCACAGAAAATATCAAAGGAAATACAGCCATCACTTGTTGAGATAACATGGCTCTGGATTGACGTGTCAGACAGTATTATGATTAATGTGAGTGCATACTTAGCAGCATTATTGGTGAAAATATAAATTCTCTTCCCACAGTCCCCTGAAGTCTCAGCTTCGCGTGGTGCTCGGCCAGCAGCACTTCAACATCACCAGCCCCAACACCAGGACGTTCGGAGTGGAGGAGTACTTTTTTCCAAAGCAGTTCTCAGTGTTTAATCCAACACTACATGACATTGGTAATCAGTAATTTCATGCGCACACATACTCCAGTGACTCACATAAACGAGAAGACCTCCTGTTCCCATTCACAAACACACAAACCCACTTAGGACCCAAGTCTGTGTGCACAGCTGTGCATCACTGAACAGCTGTGTCCCTGTGCTCCCCGCCTGAACACACTCACACACACAAAAGTACACACACACACACACACACACACACAGACAGTTGGGTGTAGCAGTTTGACTAGGTAATAGAGTCTCCAAGTCTACCACTTGCTTCGTCTTTTAAACTACACTTTTCATTGTCTAACACTGTGTGTGTCTGTTTGCCAGTTCTGATCAAACTGAAGAAGCAGGACGGACAATGTGTGAGGAAAACGCCGTTCATCAGGCCCATCTGTCTCCCAGACAAAAGCACAAGGTTCCCTGATCAGTACTGTTGCACTATTAGCGGCTGGGGACACATGTATGAGAGTGAGTGATGGGGACGTCACTGTCTGTCTCCGTTCACACATTTCAAAAGATCAGTGCAACATCAGTAAATCATTTACTTGTTTATACATGAAACTGTCACAGCACAGCCAGTTTTTGTTTGCTCTTCACTTTGAAAAATATTTTGTCCTCATTGTCATTGTATTTATGTGGGGGGACCCTGATGGACTAGCGGCTAGGATTCGGTGTTCTCGCCACTGCGGCTGGACTCGAGTCAGGGTTGCATCAGGAAGGGCATCAGACGTAAAACACGTGCCAGACTTCACAATGTGAATCGTCAGTGTGACGATTCGCTGTGGGCGACCACTAACAGGAACAGCAGAAAGTGAATTATGATGTCATTGTATTTAAGTGTCAGTCGAGGGCCAGGACAGGACAGGACTGCACCGATCGCTTAAAAACATCTGTAGCAGCATCTAATCAAAGTATGTAAACAGTAGCACCACAAGCTGTAAGATCACTTAAAAAATTACAGCTTTAAGCAGCCAGATAATATATTGACTGTCAGCCCTTTGCAAATGTAGCTGCTACTTTGATTTATTTATATGTGCAGACATGGAGATTTCAGACTTGTTAGTGTGCTGTTTAAAATGAGTAGGAAATACATCTGTGGAGGACTGGAGTAACTTAAGGGAGAGCTAGACTAAAACCACTGACTTCAGGTCTTGGAGGGAGTTTTGTTGGAGGAACCTAATGTGAAATGTATCCAAAGGGGAATTTGGGGACAGGATGAGTGCTGGAGACAGTGTGGGGGGAAAATAGCCTGCTGGCATATTGGCACGACATTACTAAAGAAATAATACATTTGGAATAGAAGTCAGTTGCTCTTTTGTCACACTACACCTGGACAAAATACTGGACAATCTCAAACCACAGCTTGATCCAATAGCTATTACATGTAAATGGATGTATTTTCTGAAATGTAATTTAAAATGTTCTCATTCTACATCATTAAACAGCATTTTGATCCAGTGTCATGTTACTTAATTAACTCATCCATCTAAAGAGGCAGTGAATTAATATTTCAGAGATCCTGACCACAGCCCGAGGTTCCACTGTCTTTAATATAATTAGCTATTTGTGCTTTGTGCAACAGAGGCAGAGGGGTACTCCAGTCTGCAGGAGGCTGGAGTCAGACTCGTTCCTCATGACACTTGTAGGAAGCCCGAAATCTACGGTAACCACGTCACCGCTGACATGATCTGCGCGGGGCTCAACGGTTGTGCCGACGCATGCCAGGTATGAAAGCACATTACTAATCCAGCCTCACCTAGTGGATGTTAATGACCCACACAGAAGCATGTTTGGACTCATTTACTTGGTTTGGTTAGCTACATAACCTGGCAGTTAATTGATGTTAATGTTCCATATAAAGTCATCTTTATGTAAAATTTAGTTTGTTATGAGTAAATCTAGGCTAAGTTTGAAGGAAGATATCAGAAGGTTGACTTGAGGTATGAGAGCAATTGACCAGCACTTAAGATGGGAGCAGGCACTGAGTCAAGTGCAGGGGGAAGTTCGTGAGGAGTTCCTGAGAAGCTGACATCTGGACAGATGTCTGCAGCGCCAGAATTTCCACTCAGCTTGCTGTGTAAAATATTTAAGTTCCTTCCTCTTAAATAAAATGTCACAGTAAACTGTTTAGAGTGGATTTGGTAGTGATGCGTCAGGTTAGTGTGTGACTTGGCTGTTTGTACAGCTCGACTTTGATCTGTTTGTGTATGTGCGTGGACTGCGTGTTTCCCCAGGGCGACTCCGGGGGCCCTCTGGCTTGTGTGAGGGATGATGTCAGCTTCCTGTATGGGATCATCAGCTGGGGAGAAGGCTGCGGTCGCTCTGGAAAACCTGGTGTTTACACTAAAGTGGCGAACTATATCGACTGGATCAATTCAGTGACCAAACGCAAACCCAAGGCTTCATGAATAGAAAGGACCTAGACTTTAATATAGTAGCTACTGTTCTATATTATCTTGTAAACTCTGTTGTAAAGCTTGTGGAAGTTTAGAGAGTCTCTTCTTTTAAAACTGTGAAACATTTTCTGACTGAATAAACCTGTACTGACTTGACAAAACTTCGAGTGCTGTTTAAAACAGTTAAAGCACTTTGACCAGACAATCCAAAATCAAGGTTACTTGCTAACCTTTTCAGGAGCTTTCAGTTGTATTACATGGGCTTTGCATTTTATCAGTTGTTACAGAGAGCTGAGAAACTTCAGGTTTCAACCATAGCACTGGTAGGACTTTTGTCATTGTGTTTTTTTAAGCATCTTTGTTCATTTTAGACTTTGGAAACAGTACTTGGACCAAAGTATCACACAAGACAGGTGTGATTGTTTAATGAAGACTAATAGAGAAGCTTTAAAATGTACAATTATATGCTGAGATACATGTTTAAAAATAAAGAAGTCCAACAGACATATTTTGAGTGGCTTGACTTATTCTGAAAACAAAAGCTATAAATGTGCCTGTTCCAATATTTAGTTATTTTTTTTAAATGTCTTATTTTAATTTGAGCATTTCAAGCAATGCAGTAACATTTCTGCTTCAATTGAAATGTGTATTTTTCTTGCTTCAGATACATTAAACAGCACAGAAACCAAATACATCAGGATTTTATTACCATGTCCATTACTCTTAATACATTTGGGGGCTTAGTGCATGTTATTGGTTGCATCTCACAAAGTTCCCAAACTTTCTGAATGCTGTTGGTGGGAGGGCCATCCAATATGGTCATTTTTAAGTTGTTTATCTTGAGTTTTTCGTTTTTAGTAAATGCAAGTAGAGCTTCATAAGTTTAGTGAAATGTGGTATTTGTGACATGAGATCCATGTGATAGTTTCCTCCAGTAGTTTCCTCTGCAGCAGCAGGTGGTGTAGACCAGCCCAGATGGCAGCCGCATGGTCGGCAGGCTGGTGCGCGCACAGAGACAGAGACACTGGTCGTGCCATTTTCCATGCGCCTTGCTGGGGGCGAGGAGAGAGGGCAGCTATTTTGAAAGTGACCCCTCATTCAGGCAGCGACTCTGCAGCTGTCAGGAACCATGACTGAAGATGACGGATTCTGTTGTCGTGGAGGGATATGCCAGACTCAGAGATGGAAAAAAGGTCTTTAGCTTTACTAGGTTTGCCGACGGATATGGCACAAGTACTTCAGCGCACTTTTATCTGTGCTTAAAGTTTTTGTTTTGTTTTCTTTCACAGTGGAAAACGAGGTGGCTCGTTGTTCGTAAGCCGTCGCCTGTAGCAGGTAAAAAGCACCGAAGTTCGCTTGTGCACGTTTTTACCAACACTGCTGTTTATCCAAATGTGGCGCTTTTGCGCCGATGAATGCGCATTTTAACTGCGCCACAATGAAACTAAACAGGCATTAAACATATCAGGTGCTTCAGTGTACGCGTTTTCCGGTTACACTTCCTGTTTTAGGGCCCAGAGAGATTTGGATTGTGAGGTAATGTTTAGAAAAACAAGTGAAAAGCCGTGGTTGGTTGTTTGTCACTGTGTTGGAGGTAACACAAAGGCTGTGAGGGAAACGCTGCTTTTACAGATGGTGTGTAAGGTTAAGATTTGGTGCAAGTTCAGGCGCTGATTTCGGTCATAAAGGCACTGCCAGGTTTAATGTCTGCAACTTAAATGTGTGTTCATTTGGTAAGTTTGTTTCACAGTGTTTTTGTGTTGTACTCAGATGTTTCGTCCTTTGTGTTACCTCACAACTGATTGAAACAATTTGTGCACTTTGACATTCACAACCTGGGCACATCACTTCATAAGTCTATGAAAACTGACCATTATTTGAGCCAAAAGTTAATGTGTTAAAGACTGAAAGTCTGAGCCTTGTATTTTCAGATGCACGTTGTAAATCTGGACTTCAGTCATATTTACTGAGGAGGCTTCAGGTGGCCTGAAGTAGATCATCTGAATTGATCACTTGTCTTGTCTTGGGCCTTTTTGCTTCATGATTAAGCAACTGGGGTTCAGAGCAATAACGTGGCTGTTGCCTTACACTGTGCCACAGAAAGGTTTCTGTGGATATCTGGTGTGGGACAGATCAACATGCTCCACAGGTTTACACTGAGGTTGAGCTGTCTCCTCCTCACATCTTTGATGTCAGTGTTATTGCAGCTGTCTGTGCTCATGCCTCAGTTATGTGTTAAGAGAGGTGTGTGAAAGAGAGACACGCACACTCTTGTTTTGTCAGCTGACACGTTGTCTGAAGGTACCAACAGAGTCAGTTGACACGTTGTCTGAAGGTACCAACAGACAAGAGGACACTACAGCGGTTTCTGTCTTATGTTTTTATCTCTTTTCCTAATGCACATTCCCTTACTTGTTGACATGTATGTACACATTGAGAGCCGCTGTACCAGAGTCAGATTCCTCATGTGTCTGACACACCTGGCCAATAAGGCTGATAAAGATAAAGAATACATCAGTACAATTATGGATTTCAGCTGTTCTCAGTCATTTTAAGGGAAGTGTTTGTTCTAAAAAAGGATAGATCTGCAGTTGAAGTATCTTCTCTCTGAGACAGCGTTTTCCTGCCTTTGTTGTGTCTCATGCTGACTCTGATTGGTCTCCAGATTGCCTCGTGCTGCTGGTGTTTAAAGACAAGCCTGACAAAACCCAGGGCAGCAGGGAGAGGGCCAGTTTCACCTTGGAGGAGATCTGCGGTCTGGAAGCGGGACAGCGGTATGAGGGTGTGGCGTTTACTCTGGCCATCCTCTGTCTGAACCAGGCTGCTCTGCTGGGCTTCGACAGCAGGGAGGTCCTGCAGGCGTGGGACGTCCGCCTGCGATACAGCCTCGGAGAAGGTGAGAAAATCTGTTGCTGCTTTGGTTTCCATGGTTTGTTTTCTGCTGTTTCACTTTCAGTGCTTTATGTTTCCTGTAATACGTCTAGCTTTACTCTAGTCAGCTACAGGTGACTTTAGAGTCTTTACATTCTGTCCTGTATTTGACCTGCAGCAAGTGATATGAGGCCAGGACGGAGGACAACAAGGTCAGGTTAGCAGCTTCTAATAGTGGTGAAGAGCAACTCCTTGGGTTCCTAATGACATCTACAAGAGCTTATTAGTAATATATTTTTTTTTTTTGACCGAGCTGCTGCTGATGTAGTTTGGATGTTTTATTGAGGTTATGAATGGCTTTCTATGGTGCTGTTGGTCTCCTGGGCTTTTCCAGTAAAATTAAAACACAAGGACATGTTCTCATCCATAAATATCAGAAGTAATGTAAGTGATAAAAAAAAAAACAGTTTTAGTGAAGGTGTAAAAAGAGGAACTAAGACTCTAAAGGTTTCACATAAAGGCCTTGTAGCAGATTTCTACTGGCTTTCTGCCAGCGGCAGTAGTTTTACCGTCACCAGTAAAGAACTGATGGCTGAAAACATTTGGTTTGATGTTTTGGAGAAGAGTTGTGCTAATGTTGGGGTGATTGTTATGATGTTCATCTTCTGTGCTCTATGAATTTCTCATTAACTGACATGGTTATAGTCTACAGTGTCACAGAAGTGATAAACAAATCTGAGCTGGAGCCTAAATAGTTTTGGACTGTTGAGTTCGTAGCAGGAGTCCAGTTGAATTTTAAAGCGGTGGTGTGATGGGGTCTGATTGTCTGGAAGAGGAAAGGGTGCTGAAGTCAAACTGTGCCTTCAGGTTTGGTGTTTGTGTGTGTTAAAATATACAGCCAGGTAACAAATGAAGCGGAAACCCAACATAAAGTGTTTCAGTGAGGTCCTGGGCCACCAGAACGGCTTCAGTGCACCTTGGCATTGACTCTCCAAGTCTATGAACTCTACTGGAGGGATGAACACCGTTCTACCAAAGGTTATTCCCTCATGTGGTGTTGTGATGGTGATGGTGGTGGTGGTGGTGGAGACGCTGTGTAACTCATCCCTCCAACATCTCCGTGGTGGAGACACTGTGTAACTCATCCCTCCAACATCTCCCATAGGTGTTCAACTGGTCTGAGACTTGAAGACTGTGAAGGCCACAGCGTATGATTCACCCTCATCAAACCGTTCATTGACCCCGTGCACCTGTATGTATTGAGGTGTGTGTTTGTATCCAGAGAGTTGGATAAAGAGTGTGTGTCTGTGTGGCCTGTTGCTTAAATGCCACAGAGTGCAGTGTGCTCAAGCCAGCAGAAATGTCACCTGTGAGCCGGTGGGCTGACGGCCACCGTGCTCTGAGCTGCTGCTGTGTGTGTGTGTGTGAGAGAGAGAGAGAGAGAGAGAGAGACACACTATGAATCTTTCTTCTTCTGAGTGATGACGTGACGCAGCTGGCCAACATTTCCTCATCACTGCCATCGGTCTCACCCCGCCATGCTTGTTCAGTGCGGTAAAAGTCGGTGCCGCTCCACAGGCGCCTCGGATGAAGCTCCACAGTTTTAGTGCTTTTACTTGAGTCAGATTTTTACATCCACTTTTCCCTTTTGGCTTCTTATTAGCAACAATACTTAGGCTCAGTTACCATGCTGCTTCTGTCGGGCTTTGATTGATTGCACTGGGCTTTAGATCTGAGCCTGCTGTATCCACAGCTCAGCTCAGTGATTTCATTCTCAGGGTGAAGCTGTTTCTTCTTTTATTGGTGAGTTAAATCAAATCCATGCTCAAGTAATCACTGTATAAGGACACTGTCTCTCTGTCCTCTGTAAAACTCGAGATAACATTCAACCCAGTCTCTTATTTTACTTTCGTGCTCCAGGCAGTTTCTCAGCTGTCATATTGCTTATATGTTGATTATATAGGTGTACATCTCATCAGTGCAGGGAGACCCTACAGTGAACGCAATAACTCACAAAACATGTCTTTGTGAACACAGTAACACTCACTCCAGCAACACGTTCGCATTTTGAAGGATGATGTTTTGCTTTCTTGCTAAGAAGATTGATACCGCTGTCATGTCAGCACATTTATAGTCTAGCCAGCAGTCAGTTAGCTTAGCACAAAAAGCCTGGCTCTGTCCAAAGGTAACAAAATGTACCTGCTGCCTTAAGCTCCGCTCCTCGGTTCGCATGTTCTGTTCAAAAGTGTAAAAATAACACATTTTGGTTTTACACTGGTTATGTGTAGATATTCCCGTCTCCTGTTTTGAGTGTTTCTGATGAGCTAACCAGCTGCTGGCTGTAGCTTCATATTTAGCATGAGAGTGGTACCGGTCTACTCAACTAGCTCCCAAGAAGAACACACAAATAAATGTCTTTCACAAAATGTGTAACTATTCCTTTAAAGTGGAAGAGGGCCCACTTTGGGAGACTTGTCCCATCAGCTCCTTGGTGATTATTGTATGTCAGTGTCCATGGTATTTACTGAATGGGTGTGTGTGCATCTACATGGTTTTCATGTGAGGCATCTAGACAGTATTTGCAGGCTGTGAAAACCATTTTCTTCAGTGGTTTAAACTTTATTTTTCATTCCTGCACCTCATGCTTTGGGTCATCCTTGTGCAGACTTCACAGGCGCAGTGGGTCGGTGTAGGAGAGCCTCATTCAGTAAGATGCAGGCCCTGCTACTGAAGCAGTGGTAATGTTCTGATGTTGGTCTTTCATCATTCTACCTGGTTCTCTGTTGCTCAGTTCACAGCTTCAGCGTCGGCGTCTTACCAGGGACCAAGCTGGAGAGCGGACCTGCAACTCTTCACTTGTGCAACAACTTGCTGGCTCTGGTCCGGGACGTCCCTCCTGTTATTATCGGCCACTGGAAGCTTCCAGACCTGCGCAGATATGGACCCGTACCCAACGGGTTTGTGTTTGAAGGAGGAACAAGATGTGGCTATTGTAAGTTTATTGCTGCTTACTTTTAGTCATTCTCACACTACATTTCAATGTAACCAGTTTAGCTAATACATTGAACTTTTAGGTTTTGTGTGGCTCCATAAAATTGTATTTTGTTTTTGGCAGATGATTCATATTTACATTGTTAGGCCAAAACAACACACTTGTGTTTGGGAAGCATGAGAGGAACTATAACAACAAGACAGTAAGAGACAAATTCTAGCAAGGATAAGATAAAATAAGAGAATAAAAATCATGCCAGACAGTGAAAATGAAATGAATAACTTGGTTTTAACAAAAGACTAACAGTCTCAGTGCAGCCAAGTTTAACACTCTCCTCTGTCTCTTGAGTAAAATTGGGTCATGCCGCTAGAAGCTAATGGTTCATTAAATCATAATGTGAGCTATTTTTCTCTTTGTCTTTCTCAGCCAGACCAAATAATCACAGGCTATGTCCTCACGACCACAGTTTTCACTGCTTTTCCACTAGTTTTCCACCGAACGGCAGACAAATCTGTGCTCTTCCTGACAGTAGAACCATGGTAGTAAACAGATTCACAGAAGATGCACAGGGAGCTGCAGACTGACACGAGTCCTGTGTACACAGTGTTAGGCAGGTGGTCATAATGTTGGTGTATAAAACCTCTATTTATTTATTTAGAAGTTGCACTTTGATAAAGGCTTATCATGCACCTGTGTAGAGAAGCTAAGCATAAGAAATGCAGTTTCTTTTGATTCATTCATTCGGTACGTTTGATGGATTATGCCATTTGGGATGTTTGAGTGCTGATTCCTCTGTGATGATCCCACTTCCAACTGGCATCGCTCAGCGTGGAGAACAGCAGTGTCAACATTAGGATTAGTGGGTTGAACTGAGTCACTAGATGCTTTTTTTTTTTTTCTCTCACTCTCTGCTCGTACATCTGGCCTCCCTCAGACGGGCACATTAAGACATATAAAGCTCCATTAAGCATCTGAAACAAAGAAAAAACAGCCTTCAGATGTTTTATCGTTGCCATAAGGGTGAGCTATGCAGATATCGTCATGAGAGGATTGTGGGAATTTCTGTAGGTCCTTGTTTAAGTGCTTTGTGTCTGAAAGGCTTTTATAAGGCAGCTAATGGCCTTAGACCTGGCTCCTCTGCTGCAGCTGTGTTTCAGTCATGTTGCACTGGACTACTGGTTTTCAGTTTCACAGTGAAGGTCCATTTAAGCTTCCTGTTCTTATTTGTCTCCAGTTTGCATTGCTGCATCATGTGGACATGCATGCTTTGTAAACACTGTTGTCTTTGTCTGTTTTTCATGGGAAGCTCTCATTCCACCACCTATAATAATGCTTGTATTGTTCTCCAAATGTGTTTGTTCACAATACCACCACAGCCTTATCAGGTGGGTTCAGCTACTCCGGCTGGTGCCGTGGCCACTCGGAGTGGCAGAAGCTGGGTGTTTGAACCATCTATTGATAACTTAAAGC